ATATATTATATGTGAATATATTATATATTATATGTAAATACAGGTAGATATCATTATTAAATGTACATGTAATATATGTATATTTGGGAGTGTTAGGACCTAGCAGATACATATATATATTTAATTTTTTTATTTTATTTAATTGGTTTAGAATGCAATCCAAGTATCTGTACTTTGTATAAGTTTCTCAAGGGAGTCTATGCATCCTATGCTTTGGAAAACATTTATTTAAATTGTTGTAAGGAAACCATTTAAAGTGAAATATCTATATAATGGTATATTTTCCAAAAATGCAAAAGAATATAATTTTTCCTTGTGAGAATAGTATATACTCTTCAAACATTATGGATAATACTGAAAAAATATGTAATATGGTATAAATTCATCACTTACAAATTAAAATATAATAGAAAACACATTTTATATAACTTTTTCCCAAAATATTTTAAAATGCTTAGTGACTGCTTTATGCTTTGAGAGAAATGAAAGGAAATAAGAAAGGAAAACTCTAAATGTAATTCTTTTTCTGAATGAGAAATTAAATTTCAAGGCAGAAGTTAAATTTCATGTATGGTTTGCATCCCCAAAGTGTGAAAATAAGATGGCAGTTCCTTTCCTTCGTGGACGCTAGTTATATACACTGCATGTACATCTTCACTTCAGATAAAAAAAATTTTTATTCAATAAATCCTATAGAGTTTTTTCATTTCCGTGTTTGTTATTAAGTAAATCTAGAAATTAGACAGGATTCACCTATTGCAGTATGAACTTTGTGTAAAGTATTAAAGTGTAGGCAAGGGCTGGACATGGTGGCTCACGCTTGTAATCCTAACACTTTGGGAGTCTGAGACGGGAGGATCACTTGAGCCCAGGAGTTCAAGACTAGCCTGGGCAACATAGTGAGACCCCGTCTCTACTTTTTCAAAATAAATAAAGTGCAGGCAAGATAGTGAATTCTAGAATTAAGTCAGCTTTCTACTGGCCACTGACATCAGGTACTTAGTATCCCAGAACCTCAGTTTCCTCATCTTCAAATAAGGGTAATAATGATATCTACCTATTTTATAGCTTGCTATAAGAAGTTAATAGCCTAATATATTTCAAAGTAATTTGTGAAATGTAAACAGCCCAAGACTTGCTGCTTTATTTTAACGTGTGCTCTGAAGAATCCCTTTTGCTGTTATTTAGCTGTGTTTTTGTTGTTGTTTTTCAACAATGCAAGGAATTGGGTGGAGAAGCACAACTAGCATTTTGTGGAACTGCCCTTAAACGCAGCACATTTAGTTTCTGGCCCAAAAGCATCCCCCAGAAATTGGGACAATCAAAAACACATTTTCATATATCCAAAAAGCACTTCCCCAGGTAGGGGAACTATAATCAGGTTGAGAACTACTGCTGACGACAGAGTTCAGAAAAAGGGGTGGGGGAGGGGGATTCTGCTCTGCTTTTGATCTGCTTTAGTTAATAGATTTCTAAATAAATGTTTGCCTGCAGAAAGCATTATGCTGCCAATCATATTCAAAGTTTAAAAACTATAATGGTTAACTAGCTTAAATTGTCATCAAAAGCCATATCTGTCATTTTATAAAAGAATCCATTTTGGGGCTTGTTTCTGCCACAGCCACTCCTGCCTTCAGAGTTCAATCTACCCTCAGGACCCTTCTCCATGGTGATCATATGTGCAGGCATTTCCTAGACAGTTGTTTATATCCTTCAAAATCAGCAAAGCTCATCACACTCCATGAATAAAAATCCAAGGGCATAGACACCACTCATCTGATCCCTGCAATGTACATGTACTTGTGAGAGGTGACTTTCTTAGAGACTTATTCAGCGCCATAATGAATGATCGAGAAATTGTAACACTGTAAATTTTTCGCTATGGACCCAGAATTCACATCAATATTATTGTCTTTAGATCAATGTTTGTTGATTCTTCAAACCTGGCTTTTTCTTGGTCAAGCTCACAGCTGATTCTAATTAGTGTCGACAGTAGATTCCAGCGCTGTAGCACTTCCAGTTAAAGGAATCCCAAAGGAAGTAAAAACTGGAAGTAACTTCCAGTTACTCCCTTTGGGATTTGCCAAAGTAAGGACTTGAAACCAGGTATGAAATCCCAAAGGAGTAATAATAACCTACCCTAGTCTAACTCACTGGTTTGTTGTTGAAGAGAAAATATGGTAAGAATATTAATAGGTGGCATTTATCAAAATGTAATTCCTAGTGTGTGCTAGGCATCCTGCTGAGTGTTTCACAAAAAAAAATCTCCTTCAATCTTCCTGACAACTCTATAGGTAAATATTATTGTTGTAATTCCCATTTAGCAGATGAGGAAAGAACTGAAGCTCAGAGGGGTTTAGGGACTTGTCCAAGATCACTCAGCTTATAAGTGGAGCAGCAGAATCAGAATTCACACCTGGGACTGTCTAGCTTCCTGGCCTCAGCTCCCAGCCAGTGTACTATTCCACCTCCTTAACTGACATGAAGTGTACTGGAAACTCCAAAGTGCCACTGAGACTAGTAGCTGCTATTTTTAGTCTGTAACAGTTTACCTGAAACACCCAGCTCTCTCTCACAGCACCCTTCACGGTGCCTGTCACTCACGGTTGCTTGTGAACAGCATAAACAACACTATGACATTTTGATGTCTAAGAATATCCCTGTGGGAGAAAATCATAGCTTCTGGTTTTGTTTCAGATTATTGGTCGAGCCTTAAATATTCTCTTCCCTGTCATTTGGCAAGGTGTCTGCCCAGGGCATTCAGTCCACGCCTCTGAACCTGGCAGTGAATTGGCGATGTGAACCTTCAAGCACTGACCTGCGCATAGATTACAAATACAATACAGATGCAATGACGACCGCTGTGGCCCTCAACAATGTGCAGTTCCTGGTCCCCATCGATGGAGGAGTCACCAAGCTCCAGGCGGTGCTCCCACCAGCAGTCTGGTAGGAAGCCTCCTGTTCTCTCCACCAAAGGGCTCCTCTGGGTCAAGGGGTCATAGACTTCTTAGCGCTTGTGTGTCCTGTAGGAGGAGATGACAGCGGGCCTGTGTATTACGGTTCAGTGCAGGAAATAGAAACCGCTGGTAGCTATTTTAAGCAAAAACTAATTCAACAGGGACTTCAATGCTCACACAATGGTGGAAGTGCTAAAGGAACAGGCTGGATCTCCAAAAATGCCTCCCAGAGCTCTACAGAACTGGCCTGCCACAATCCAGGGAAGGAGAGAATTTAGAAGGCCACCGGTAGAGCCACAGCATTCAAGAAGCCACAGCTGTAACTCTGATCCTAGGACCAGCAAGCTCCTATTGGTACCTCCTTAAGTGCTTCTTGGCACCCACAAATTAGAGGCTAGAGTGGACCCCTGGTGTTAGAAGATCCCCACATCTGAGTTAGACTGCTGGTCAGAGGAGAACAGTCAAGAAAGCTGCGGGAGAATGACCTCTGCCTCCTTTCTGTCTTCTAAATCTCAAACCGTGCATGCAATTGGTAAACCTAATTTGTAACTAGGACTCTAACTGCAAAGGCCTCTGAGAAATGTAGTGTTTCATTTTGTAGCCTCTGAACTATAAAAAGGCACACTAGAGAAGGTATGGGACTAGAAACTGAATAGATACATTGTGCCTATATCATCTGTTATAAAGGACTTGTTCTAGAAAGAGCATTTCATTTTTCCATATGACTGTCAGAAGCAAAAACTGGAATTTGTTTTAAAAATGAATGTCAGTGGCTTAAGCCTGTAATCCCAGCACTTTGGGAGGCCGAGACGGGCGGATCACGAGGTCAGAAGATCGTGACCATCCTGGCTAATACGGTGAAACCCCTTCTCTACTAAAAAATACAAAAAACTAGCCGGGCGAGGTGGCGGGTGCCTGTAGTCCCAGCTACTCGGGAGGCTGAGGCAGGCGAATGGCATAAACCCGGGAGGCGGAGCTTGCAGTGAGCTGAGATCGCGCCACTGCACTCCAGCCTGGGCAAGAGAGCAAGACTCCGTCTCAAAAAACAAACAAACAAAAAAAAAGGATGTCAGCCAGATCATGACCCCAATTTAAATTACCTTAATTAATTGATTAACTAATACTTCCATCTATCTTCCTATGTATCTGTTTCAGCAAATTTTTTTTTTTTAAATTTTAGCTCTACTTTGTCCTCTAAATATTCATTTTACCGTTTTCTAGCTAGTTACAATAAGGACAGGGAAAAAAGAGATTTATGTATGTTTGGGAGGGGAGAGAGAGACAGGGAATTTTAAAATTGTTGTGAAACTTTTCAAGCTCTATTTTTAAAAATTAATACTATCTGGGAAAAAAAAAACAGCATCCACTAAACAAAAACTCTTGGATATGCAAAAACCTTTTACCTAATTCATTTTTAGGAATGCTGAACAACAGAGAATATTGTGGAAGATTCCTGATATCTCTCAGAAGTCAGAAAATGGAGGTAATGGAATCACAAGCTTATTTTATTTAACATGTAAAGCTAAAATGGCTTTTAGGTATTTGCCAACTATTACCCAAAACATGTAGCAATAAAAACAAGCAGAATATTTCACTCCATTTTTGCATTTACTTATTTCAATTAATAAAAGCAAATAATTCTTCAATCAATTCTCTTTTACCCCTCTTCTACAGACTCCACATCAAATTATCGTTTAGGCCTTTTAAGGAGGCATGTTTTCATCCTGTGTCAGATTCCACACTCCCTGATTAGACATTTTTCACTCTCCTCAGATATTAATCATAGGTTGGAAAATGCAAGGGCTTCCAAGTAGCACATCTTCAAATTTTGAGGTACCATCTCACGAAAGTACACTTTTACCAGTGTGCAAATAGAGTTGCTCATAATATTCAATGATAAACTTCATTTAATCACCATTTTGTCAATGAAGTCTGATTTTGTATGTTAATTTTTGAATGCAATCTCCAAAATTATATCCAGAATATTACATTGACTGTTACCTTGTAATAATGTTTGTTTGTTTTTTTTAGGGGTGGGTTCTTTGTTGGCAAGATTTCAGTTATCTGAAGGCCCAAGCAAACCTTCTCCATTGGTTGTGCAGTTCACAAGTGAAGGAAGCACCCTTTCTGGCTGTGACATTGAACTTGTTGGAGCAGGGTATCGATTTTCACTCATCAAGAAAAGGTTTGCTGCAGGTAAATGAGTATCTTGATTTTTTCATTTGCATAAATAATGTTGCCTTAGCTACTCTTCCTTAAGAGGAATAGATTGTGATTTTCTCATCTTTTTCCTCCACCTCTTTTCCACTCCCAACCCCCATCCCAATTAGAAAACAAACCAGTCATTGAATGAAGTAGAAATAGGACAATGAAATAGGACAGTGAATCAGAAGTCAGAAGGCTCTGACTTCTAACTCTGTTTCTTAAGTGGGACTAGTTGTTCCCATTATATAGATGTATATACTGAGGTTAATGGAGTAAATCCTACTTTTATTATATTGATGAACGAGACAAATACTGTTTGCTTTTTTTTTTTTTTTTTGGTGAGCTGCAAGCTCCACCTCCCAGGTTCACGCCATTCTGTCTCAGCCTCCCGAGTAGCTGGGACTACAGGTGCCCACCACCAAGCCCGGCTAATTTTTTGTATTTTAGTAGAGACAGGGGTTCACCATGTTAGCCAGGATAGTCTTGATCTCCTGACCTCTCCTGACCTCGTGATCTGCCCACCTCAGCCTCCCAAAGTGCTGGGATTACAGGCGTGAGCCACTGCCCCCAGCCTTGCCTTTTAATGTATCTCCCACCTGAAAACTTTTTATTCTCTGACAGGGCTTCATAGAGTTTAGACTTGTCAGGTTTAGCTGAGATCTGGGATAATCTATTTTTCATTTTAATCACAAACTCAAAGAATCTAGGCCACAGATCAAAAATGGTCACCCATAAGCTGAATGTGGCCATGAGACAAGTTTTATTTGGCACAAACCATGGGGTTTTGTTTTGTTTTTCAATTGGGGGAGAGGAACGCTCTAATACTAGAGTGATTATACTTTTCAGTGATTTGCTGGGATAAATCCTGGTTTTTCATGCCTGTTGTACTGATGTAATTATTAATTATACCCTTTTCACTCTCGAAAATGATCCAAGTTGGAAAATCAGTTATATGAGCACCCTTTCTAAAATAAGTTGCATTCTCACATCCAGAAATAAATCTCCCAATCTATTCTGGGCAAACCCCAAACCTCTGCAAATTGTGGATCTATGGAAATGTGAAAAGTCAACTAGCCGATCTGAAAAATTGAAAATTGATTTGGAAACATTATGTATCTTTTATTTGTATTGCACCTCTAAAGTATGCAGTATCTGGCTGCTAGGGGTAGGGAAGGAGGAATAGAAATGTTACCCATATAATAATTACATTATTGAACTAGCAGATAACGTGTTAACATGTTGTTTTGTTTTGCAGGAAAATACTTGGCAGATAACTAATAAAATCTTATGCAAGGATTTGGAGGATTCATATAATGGAGAACTGATGTATGAGAAACAGGTTTTAATTTTGGTTTGATGAAAACAAACCAATATCTGCACTTGGGATATATCAGGTGGAAAGTCAATGACTTTCAGCTGTGATTTCCCTCACACAATACCATGATGACCAGTCCTACAGTATTTACTTCTAGGTGTAATATTGTTAATGGTTTTAAAATGTAATTATTGTATTTGTAAATTGTACTCTCATTCCAGTAAAGCAGTTAGACACTTGAGTTTTAGCATTTTACCATTCCTGAAATGGATGTAATTCAAACTGTGGTATGTAAATTTAATAGTAGTATTGTTGAATGGCACAATGCTTACAGAGGTAGATTGCATTTTGTCAATATATAAAATTTAAATATAATATTGATAGCTGTCATAAAGGGGGTGCCACACATTAAAGAAACTTAAGTGGAACCAGAAGAAAAAGAAACAAACTTACTTTTCTTCAATCCTTAGTATGTTTTACTCTAGTGCTAAATAAAAATTCTATCTTCAAATGTTTAGTGGGTTAAATTGAGAAACTATTTCAGAAAAAAATTCTAAGGTTACAGCATATTCAAAGAAAAGCATTAGTTACCACTTTTTAAAAAGCTTTTTTTTCAAACTGCAAATTTCATAAAAATGCAAACTGTGTAAACAGGGCCTCTTATTTTTATAACTTGTGTAAAAAGGGAAAGCAATTCATATTTAAAGTTTAAGTATATTAAATTATAATCAAGAGTAAAGAAGATGTTGAAGTCTTAACTACTCGCCCCTCTCTACAGTTTAGCAAATGTGGGGATTGCTGAATAATCAGTCAGACTAAAACCAAAATTGTGATTTTAAGATTTCAAGACTTTCCATAGCTGAACTGGCTAACAACTTTTGCTTAATTACTCTGAATAGATGATCTTACTCATCCAGTATGGGGGAATGATACCCCGTGTCTTCCTCTTTCTCCACAGGAAATCAAAACACTGAGACTGAGAATTTTAGGGGAAAAAAAAGTCCCCTGTTTAGATCCAGAAGGATTTTAATCATTGTTTATATCATTTGAGAATGAAAAAATAAGCTTTATAAATGAAATTCTATTCACATTACTGTGTAATAAATTTCCTTTCAGATGATTAAGATTCATTGTATAAAACTGTAAATCTTTGCCATTCTTGGAGAAGCAAGAGGAGAGTTACCAAAAATGTATGTCATTTCATCGTTGCAAGGTATAATAAAAACTGTAATTATTCAATCTGGCCCCACCATATGAACATTTAGAAAGACGAACTTCTTCGGGAGTCTCAATTGTAAAACCTTCCCTCATTCAGATCTGAAAATGTTAGTTTTCCTTTAAGTCCTAGAACTTATTGAAACATAAACCAATTTCTATTATAGGTTATGTTATTAAATAACTATAATTATTAAGTTATTATTTTTATAATTAGTCGTTAAATTTTCATTTTATATCCACTCAAATTTAACAAAGAATCTTTAGCCCCTTTAAATTTTAGAATCAAATTAAATTTTCAAGGTCTTACTTCTAAAATGAGATTGTGACTGGCAATTGTTTACAGTGCAACTTTTTAAATTAATCTTTGTACTCCTCTATTAGTGCTTGCTACCAAAAGAATGTTCCAGATGATTTGTTTTACCCTGGGAAAATTCTTACTATTCAACAAACTCTCAGTTGGCTCCCTAAAGCAGTCTGGTGTTGAAGTTTCTTTGAACAAACTAATTAGTATACTCATTTTATGTAAAGGTATCCAATTTGGTTTTGAAACCAAAATAGAAAATGCAAAATTCTAAATTCCATGAAACATGGAATTTACGACACCAAAATCAATGGAGAGTAAGTAGCAGAAAACTGAGAATTGTCCAGCATATGGATATAACAATGTGTTTTTAAGTAATCAATTCATTTAAAAATTTGAATATTAATACAAAGCATATTAAAAAACGTGTAAATATTACTGGTTCTCATGTCTTTGTATTTATATTTTATTTTGTTTTATTTTGTATAGCTCTGGAATGAATTAGTAATTAAACGCAAGGGTTTTTTCCCAAAAAATAATTTTATTGATTTTTTAAAATGTAATTAAAAGCATAGATTACAGTAATCTCTAACATTATTCAAATGTTTCTAGGGACTAAATTAGAAACTATGAAGAAATCCTGTAATTCCTTAATTGGTCTTTATGAAACAGAATGGGAGTCAGCAATTTCAAAATGATTGAACTATGAATAACCAGAACCTCAATAGAAAATGTATCCCTTCATCTCTCAGAAAAGACGTCAAATAATAACACAGTAAGCTGGTATCAGGGATTTGTATTTTGACATTTTGTTGTTTTTTTTTTAATTTTGTAGATTATAATCTCCTGTTACATCTATATCCACAGTACTGTAGATTAAGAATTCATGTCCTGAAAATGATCCTAGGCAATGAAAGAGTCCAGTTATCAAAGACATTAAGTCAGATTCATTTATTCATTTTATTCCCAAGTCAGAACAAAATGAACTAGTAGGTATTAAAACTATTTTCAGTACTAGGGGTTAAAACAAAAAGAAATGGTTCCAGTTAACCAGAACACCATTTCCTGAAAGTTATGGTCTTTAAAAGGTTCTGCTTTAGCAAGATAAAAAGTATAAATGATGCTACTTTATTTTGGCAACATGGAAAGTATGTTTTTCTTTTCCAATAAATTCCATATTTTCATGAAATTTTTAAAAATAAATTTTTATTAAGAATTAGTCTGAATTTTATCATAATTGAAATTTATAATTACTAAGAATTAAATTTTTAATCATTTTTAAAGTTGTATTCTTCTCTACACCCACAGCCAAAATGGAAATTCACTGTATGGTATTTGGGAATATATTTCACCTGTAAAAGAAAGAATGTCCACAATTCAAAGGGTTTTGAGTTAATAAATAGGAATCCCTCAGTCAAACTACAGAATTTTTTTCGCTTTATATATTCTTAGTCAGCAAAGTATTTGAGCTATAATTACACATATTTCCACTTCTAAATCTTCTTTTAGAAAGCAGATAACTATAATACTACAGTTGGGTCTACCCCTAACTCCTGCTGTATGATATTGGACAAGTCACTGCCCTTTTCAGTTTCTCATCTTTAGAATGAGGAGTTGGGATTGCCAGTGGTTTTCAAGCTTTTCTTAACAGCAGGGCATTTGTTTCTAATAAAATTGCACATGGAATCCTGGTAGGCAAAACAGCTCAAAGAAATGCAGGAGTTTCTCCAACAGTTTAAATCAGGGCTCCCCAAAACGTGGTTTAAACACCATAACAACATGCAATGATCTGTCAAGTGTCTTCCAACTCTGAAGTTCCACAGTTGTAATTTATTCAGATAAACCACCTTTTGAGGCTTTATAAGCAAACTTGTAAAAATCATAGTAATTGAATGATACACAATAAAAACTGACAGAGTGTTTACCACGTAGCAGTCACTACAGATATTAGCTCATTTAATCCTCTTATCAATCAAAAACTTGTAAGTATTCTTTTTAATTCCTGTTTTACAAGTGATGACACTGAGGCTTAAATAGAATAATTAATTTCCCCAAAATGACACTACAGCTGAAAGTAACCCAGTTATTCTGACTGCAAAGGAAACGCCTTAATTGCTTTGTCCATCCTGAACAAAAAAAAAATCTGTTTTATGTCACTGTACATACTTCATTTGAATGCCAAGGTAAAAGCCACCATGAAAAACCATTACCAAAATAAGGATAATTCCAATAACAAAATTGTCAAAAAAGAATCACTGCTTCTCAAAGTATGATTGGTGTCATCACTTATTAATGTTTTGTATCATCACTTATTAATGATTTTGTCTTGGTCACCACTATGCCTAGAAGATAGTAGGGACTGATAAACATTGTTAAACACCGTAACAACACACAATGATCTATGAAATGTCAATATCTTCCATCCCTGAAATTCCATGATTCTACTTTACTCAGATAAACCACCTTTTGAGGCATTATAAGGTAACATGTATAATCAAGTTCATACAAGCTATACACAGTAGGCATCGATAAATTTGTATTGACAGCATAAACTTCTAGGGATGGGATTTGGGAATATACATTTTGATAAGTGCCCCAAATTTGAGAATCATTGCTCTAGTAGATCTCTAAGGTCCTTCTTAGTTCTGACATTATATCAGATTTTAAGCATTAAATTCTAAGATGAAAAACATTTTTCTAGTCAGTTTATTTTTCATTCAGTCCACTTAATTACCTACAATCTTAAAAAAAAAATATTTTTTTCCTAGGAAAATTCCTATCTTTTTCTTAAAGTTACTCTGTTATACTATCTCAGTCTCAAAGTAGCCTGAAATGCATTTTCTCATTTTCGTATTTCTGTCCTTTTCTTCAATGTCTTAAAAGACTTGAAGTAGAAGGGAGGTTGCAAGCTGTTATTTATTCAAACACAAAATCCTAATAAATGTTTCCTTCTTTGCAAGGGACATTCAGATCTCTAACTTGTGAGTTGAACCTATTTATTTTGTAAGCTTTTGACTTTACAAACATGTGGTATCCTCATTCTAAAAGAGTCGCACCAATACTTTTTCTCAAAATAGCCACAGGCTGTAAATTAAATTGAACAATAGAGTAAAATATGCGGATACATACTAAACAGATGAGTGTGTGTGTCTGTGTCTGTGTTTAAGCTTTTCCTTTTCCAAAAGATTATATATTTGAGCAAAATCCCATTCAGTCTGAATGTACTCATTTTGCCACATGGTTTTCTGATCAGCAATTTTTTTAAAAAAATGAAAGCATGATATTATATTTAATAATAGAAAAACAAGAGTGATCTCTAAATATAGCCTTGAAAGTTAATGTAATATTATGTATCCATACAATGAGTCAAATTAAATGGTTGATATAAATGTACAAATCAATCCAAGTCACACTGATTAAAGGGACTATTCGAATGACCAGCCTCACCACCTTTTACTGTGTGCACTTTCCTCTTAAGGCTTTATTGTATTTTCCCTGCTCCTTTAGGCTTTTTTATCACGTGGAAACAGTATCTAAATGCCATTCTCTCACTTATGAATTAAATATGGCTACCATTAATGTTCCTTTTTGTCAGTGGAGTGTATGGCAGGAAAATGAAACAGGAATACATTGCTTAAGTCTCTAAATATTAAAAACAAACAAACAACAACAAAACACTTGCCTTTCTCTTGTGTCATTGCTTCAATGTTCTGTCATCTTCTGCAAGCTAGAGTTGCATTGTTGATATCTAATTAAGATCTAAATATCTTTCATGAAGGAATGTTAAATGTAAAGTCTGTTGAGTTGACCATGGTGGATCTCTTGATTAAATCTCATGTTTAATACCTGATTTCTTTCCTAAATGGGTATGTCTGTGAGGAAAAGATACCTCATAGTTGACATTGACCATGAGTATAATAATTTATTCTCCAGGATTAACTTCTAAATTATTTTTCCTTTGATTTCTAACTGCCTCCTTCTATCTGCCTCCTTCTATCCCTAGAGTAATACCTTGCCTATCTTAAATACATCTTTATCCTTGTAAAAAAATGTTTTGGCAAAAAACGAATACATTTTTTAATGTCCCATAATGTTTTAAAGGAAAGAAGTAAAGAGTATTTGGGCTATGCTCACCAATATTCCAGTATTTTACAAATTGTGTTCTGGAAGATATTCATTGTGATCTGAGAACAAATGGTCCTATACTATAATTCTCTCTCCTTGGACATTAATAATAAATGTTAGTGTTTAATGAAGCTTAAGAAAGTTATTGAATGAGGTAAAAACTTTTTTTTTTCTAAGCACACCTTGAGAAACCTTTGGAAAAGTTTTCTTTTAACACTAGTTTATATATCCTTCAATAATTGTAAATAAAATAACCAGGAATGCTTTGAAAAAATGCTTCTGGAATTTTGTTTTAATTTTAAGGGAATTCCTGTCATTTCAAATGAATTGTTATCTATTTTAAATTTCATTAGTATCTCTTAGTGAATTTAACTTTATCATCTAAAATATTCAAAACAATAAAATTTTTTTAATTGTTTTTGTATTATTTTTAAGGCTTGCACCTATGACCAGCATATCAGACCCCTATCTGTTGAAGATGTTTCCAATCATTTGCAGTGTGGAATTAATGCCAGTGAATAATCTGCAGCAATGTTTTACTAAACAGCTTTAGGAAACAGAATCATGATAGATCCATGTTGACAGTATTTT